TTGTGTATTTACAAATTACTTGCTTATTGCTCTTCCGTAAACGTGACTTATCAGTGAATAAACTCATAATGCAACATTAGTCTGCATGTAAAGTCACAATTTAAAACAAAGTTATTATTTACTAATAGAAACAAATTTTCTAAATAAAGCTTTTCTGCAAGCAGTTCTCTTTAAATTTTCATAAATCAAGAAAGATTTTTACTTTAGTATCTTAGCTATCGGGACACTGGTGATTTAGAAAAAGTTTTAAAATCATTTCAAAATATGCTTCAATCTGCCATATTATGTTGCTAAAATAAATGGATTTAATGTGTTTAAGCAAATAAGGAAGTTACTTTATGTAAACAATGTACAATTGCTGTCCCTTCCAACATGGCTATGAGACAAATTTTAAACTTTTAAGAAGTGTTGGTTGTAAAGAAAAGTGTATTTTTGATGGAAGAGTGTTTCTTATGCCACTCTAGCAACCTCTTAATTGTATCGACTTGGCTACCACCTCTTTGAGAGGTAGATTAACCACATCAAAACAAAAATTTCTTCCATGTGGCACAGCGGTGGCTGTATTGTGGACAGGGTCTAAAACAACTTGGTTAAGGCAAACAGATTTACTTCTGGCAAGAATATGAAGCCAGAATAGATTTTAAACACTTACAGTTGAAAATCGCTGAGTTCCACAGAACCAGGATTTCAGCTGATACTTTCTGGCTTTTGTGGGATTATGTCAAGTGCTTAATGTTACTTTAATATAGTTGTGGTTTAATATGAAGAGATAATGACAGAAAACTAAGCAATGTCCTCATTTTAACTATAGACAATAAAACAAAATGATTAAAATAGACTTTAATAGACTCAATATTATGCTTTTTTCAGTGTTGTTGTAGTCATGTTGGTCCCAGGATATTAGAGAGACAAGATGGATGAGGTAATATCTTCTATTGGACCAACTTCTGTTGATTCAGGTGACCAGAAGAAGAGTTCTGTGTAGCTCAAAAGCTTGTGTCTGTTGCCAACAGAAGTTGGTCCAATAAAAACTATTACCTCACCCACCTTGTCTCTCTAAATTATGCTGACAGATTCTTGTGAATTTTTTTAACCTTTTTTTCTAGTGATAGGAGTTGCCTTTTTTGTTAGCCATTTATTTCGTTTCCTTTTGCTTTTCCTGGGAAAAGTGGCTCAAATACCTCCATTCGCAGTTAATCATTTTTATTCACTCAAAGTTAATCGTCTTAATCTTATAACTGATTTCTAAATCTGTATGAATGCTCTTGCAGTTTATATAATTTAATTGTATTATTTTTTCTACTGATAAAGGATTTTTTTGTTCAGGAGGTTTGAAAAGATAATTGTGGTTCTTCTTTGAGTGATTGTATATGTCCATTACACTAAGGGTGTGTGTGTGTGTGTCTTGTGCACTGGTGGCCAGGGAGTTTTCCCTAGCCATATCATACCAATAGCCGGAAATCCTCTGATGTTGCTGTTGATACTGCAAGCCCATTGTAGATCACAGTCCCAATCTCTGCCTCCGCCACCACCTGGTACTGCTCCACCCAGGCCTTTGGAGTACTCATACTCGGAATCTAAAGTGGGTTCACATGTCCCCTTCTTAAGGGAATCCAGGGTATCCTCCAGTGATTGTTCCCGGTTTTGTAAGAGTCATCCTGACGAGTATGTGGAAGGAATGGAGTGCCCAGTTTAGGCACAGTTGGTCTACAGTACCATACCAGCCCTATCATTGGCCCTACTATGTACTTTGGGGGATGCTTCTGGTGTCTAGATCTTCAACTGCACTACAGAAATTGATCCCTGAGAAGGGGAGTCTCCCCAACCGGTACCAATAGACTGTCCAAAGTCAGGCAATTGCTACATTACAGAAATGTAGCCCTGAGGTGTGAACTTTCTTCACTGTGTCACGACAGGGACATGGGTGGTCTGACCTAGTGTTTGGAGTGGGAGTCAGGCTTGGTCAGATACCAGGAGATTAGAGTCTGAGATATGCCAGAAAGCAGACTGAGAGTCAGGTGTCGGTGTAGTGAAGGGCAGGATACCAGGAGATCAGAGTCAGGTAGTAGGAGTTGATAGCACAAAGGAAGCAGTCCAAAGCAGGGGAAACCCAGTTGCATAGATAGTTTCCTGTTCTTGGTTTAAATAAAAGCAGGAAACTAGTCAAAGTTACACCAGTTAGATTCCAGGGCTGGAGTCCTCTAATTCTGGTATCTGCTAGCAGGTCACTAGGTGGCGGGTTGGAACTCCTGATGGCCAGACTCTGGTAGTACTGTCAGGGCCTGGGCCAGAGCCCAGTGAAGTGGAACAGCCCTACCAACTCGCACCCTGCATTTCAAAGGTCTTAATCCCCGACTAGGCAACGCTCCCCACAAGTGACGACCATCCCGGGGGCCCATCTCACGTATTAAGATAAGTGGTGCAGACTTATCCACTTCTTCAAAAGTTTTATATCAGCCATAAATAGACATGGATTAGGATGGACAGATGTTTCATTCTATAGGATAGATTATGCTCAAAACCTATCCGTTGATCTGCGAAGTACTCTTCGCACAATTGGCAGAGTGATTATAATGATGAGCAGTATGTTCCATAATTTATATATCAGTAAACTGACCCATAAGAGAACAATACGCTATACTCTGGCACTTCAGTTCAAGCCCAGTATTAAAAATCAGAATGCAATAAAATATGCTGTATATTATTTTAGCTTCCATTTTTTGCCTTTCAGTAACCCAGGAATTACGTTTTTGTTTTTTAAACAGCCCATCTCAGTTGTTCTTGTCTGTATGCATTCTGGTTCCTATCTTTGAAAGCTGTTGCTACACCCTAATGTATGGTTGAATGGGTATGTTTTTTTTGAAGGATCCTCATAACTTTTCAATCCGGATTCATGATGGGAAGGGAAGGGACCAAAAGCAGGAAATAAAGTTTCTAATCAAACCAAGAGGTTATTTGTAAGTTAGGGAACTAGAGGTGGAAGCCCTTGACTTTGGGCTATGTTTTCCCCTGTTCATTCATCAAAACCAGTTTGTTGACATTCAGAGTGTAGTGTAAAGCCTATTTATTTACACAGGGTTTCACCTGATTTCCTTGGAGAAGAGCTTTGACAGGGTTTCCTTGAAAGAAAAAGTTGAGTTTATTGTGGCTGGAGAGACTTTTCTTAGTTTTTGCCATTATGTTAATTTAGTTTTAAATTGTTATTTTGTCTATGTATATGCACTTACAAGGTTTTGATAGTTGCACTTTATAAATTTAAAAATAAATGCATCTTTGTTAAACTCCTTCAGCGTAACCCTGAAAGAAGGCAATTAGCTATTTGTAGAAGGTTTGAAGGAGGGCAATTGTAGCATTTTAATATTTTAAAGATGTAAATTGTAGCGGGGGTGAAAAACAAACTGGGACTGTGAACTAAAAGTCTCCAAGCAATTTTTAATAACATCTACACAGCAATGCCGCCCCCTCCCCCGCAACAAAACTGAGCAGCAGCAAGTTTCAGAGCCCAGGTCAACTGACTCAGTCTTGTGAGGCTTGCACTGCGGGGCTAAAAATAACACTGAACACATTCAGACTCAGGCTGGAGCCCAGGCTCTGAAACCCAGCAATGGGGGGGGAGAGTCTCGGAGCCTGGGCTCCGGTCCAAGCCGAATGTCCACACAGCATGAGCCCAAGTCAGTTGATGTGGTCTCTGCTGCAGGTGTTTTTGTGTGTGTGTGTGTGTAGATGTACCCATTGAGGTATTGTTTTCTTTTTTTTTTATAAATCGCCAATAACTTCAGAACATGAACTTTTATTTGTTCTCAACTGGGTATTCAACATTTGAGGAAGACTGCTTGTGGGAGACATGTTCATTTTAAATTAAATGAAAGGATGCTGTGTAGAAAAAAATGTAGAGGTAAAGATTTATAGGTAACAGCACAGTTGAATAACTCAGTTGATGACAATGTGGGGGAGAAAGAGAGATTTGGTTTTTAGTACTCAAGTAAATGAAACCTGAGTTGCTGTTACAGAAAAGAGACAATAAGATGGAGCGTCATTAAAATTAAATGCAACTATGATTTGTACTTTAGGAATATTTTTTTTAATGCATATTTCATGGTATGTCTCAGAGATGATCATTAGGATTGGGCAGAGTGTTTAGTAAAAACTCCAAATATCACTACTCAATGTCATTTGGTAATTGAAGCCCAAAGTAATTTCTGGGTTTGAGTTTGAATTATCATAATTTGAATGTTCCCCTTCCTGATTTGGATCAATAACCTGATTTTGTTTTAAATTTGATTCTGTGGTTTTCCTATTCAGCCAAGACCTTGATCCTACAAACATGCATGTGCTTAACTCTACACACGTGTAGTCACTGGTGCATCAGTGTAAATGGTTGCACGATCTGGAGCAAAATGTGTATATAGCTCTATTGGGTATTGGTAGGGACAGCTGAAAATTAATCCTCTGCCTCTCTTTCTTTGGATAGCTGCAATACTTCCTTTTGCTTCGTAGTTATGGAATCCTCATGTGGCTTCTATGAGCCTCTGGTTCAATGAAGTATGGGATATCCTCTTACTATCACCCTAAGAAATAAATTAAAATAAAATCTTCTCTTGCTGCAAGGGCACCTTTTTATTATTTTTGCTGAATCCAGTTTCTTTAATCCACAGCATTTTTTGCCCTTTTATCATTACTTAGAATTTGAGGGGGTTTTTATTGTGCAAATTATTTCTGTATTCAATTTGCTGTGGTGTTGTACAGTATTTGGGGTTTTTTTTTTGTAATTATCTGTTTTGATAATAACCTTCATTTTGCTGCCTCCCAAAATACAATTTTTAAAAAGCATTGTTATTGACCAAGCATGGAAATGTTCTTTCCAAAAGATTTTTGGAAAGTTATGAGTCTGAGAAGAGAGGGTTATAATAGAACCTATTAACCCTTTTAACCGTACTAGTAACCTAGTATAGTACACATATTTTAAAAGTTGCATTAATATTATGTTTTGTATAATACAGCTCAAAACTGCTCTGGATTGAGGACCTGTGGGCAGTGTTTGGAACAGCCTGGATGCGGATGGTGCAATGATCCCAGTAATACAGGAAAAGGGCATTGTGTGGAAGGATCTTCAAGAGGGCCAATGAAGCTCGTTGGGGTGCACTCCAATGAAATGGTTCTTGACACTAATCTTTGTCCAAAAGAGAAAAATTATGAATGGTCCTTCATCCACTGTCCAGGTAAGAACTTCTGATTTGTGTTATATTGTTTGTCTTTTTTTTTTCTTTATTAGAATAGTATGTATGAGCTCTTAATGTCAAATGAGAGCTACAGCATGTAAAGTTTTGATTGCTTTTCTGTTTATATAGGTACACAAACAATACCAAAAATATTTTAAATAACATAATTAACATTTATACAAGATTACATTTTTTACTAAATGTTATTTGTGATATCGGGGGGGAGGGATAGCTCAGTGGTTTGAGCATTGGCCTGCTAAACCCAGGGTTGTAAATTCAATCCTTGAGGGGGCCATTTAGGGATCTGGGGCAAAAATCTGTCTGGGGATTGGTCCTGCTTTGAGCGGGGGGTTGGACTAGATGTCCTCCTGAGGACCCTTCCAACCCTGACATTCTATGATTCTATGAATTTACTCTGCAAGAGCCAGTTTGTTTTTCAGTTGCTGCTAAACATATAGCTTCCAAATTTTATGTGGTTACATGTGGGATATTTTTTGCAAATTTAATCAGAATATGGGAGAGTGTCATTACATTTAATATAACCTTAAGTGATTTAATTCAATCTGTGGATTAAAATATGGGCACATCAATATTAACTGTGATACACATTCACCCAAGCCCATATTACTGTTGATCAATTTGTACTGAATGCACAGCTTGCTTAACTAAAATAGAATTATACGTTTGTATTACTAGTTCAGGATTTGTTTTTTTTCATACATAACTGTATCCACTACACTTTCTGGATGAAATATTTGGGCTCCTCTCTCTGGTTTATAAGACATGAGCTTTATGTATTTAAGACCAATCCTGTGGACATTGCTCAGTCAAAGCTCCTATTGAGAGGAAACTTGGACTAAGAAAGGATTTGGCCCTAAGTGTTCACTGGCATCGATTCTGCAATGAACATTTTAACAAAAATATTTTTTTTACTGCTGCCTTTTAACAGAAATTATTTAATATAGCATGTCGTTCTAGCAGTATTTATTTTTAACTATTTCAGGAGAATCATTGTTTAATACTGTATCTAAATTTTGTGCACAGTTGATTTTTTTTAGTCAGAAATAAATGTACATTAATCTATAACATGCAACATAGCTATATTTGAAGATTATTCTACAGTATTTATAAATAATGTTGCCTATACATTCATACATATTACATGTGAATCATGTAGTCAATTTTTATTGTATTTGAAATTCATGTTCTCTTCATGGAATCTCTGTGACTTGATAGTATTTTTGATAAATCCCATGGATTCATATTGTTTTAAATTCATTCTCATTGTTACTGTGTGTTTTAATTGTTAAAAGAAGTATACAAAAGGGCATCTTTTGTTGAGATGCAGGTTAAACATCTCCAGGTAAACTAATCCTTCTCTCTGCTTGCGGGAAAGTGGCAACCTTGATGTTAATTTTGACATCCTTGTTAAGTATTTTAAGCCGTGTGTGCCACATTTCTAGTTGTGTAGCTGTTGTGATTTTTTAAAGTGGTTTTATGTTACTACGAAACTTTTCTGCGATTTCAGGTGACTAACTGCTGTGGTGTGGCCATAAAGCAGATGTCTGGTATCTTTTACATGTAATCATTTCATTTTCCTTGTTACCGCTCTCCTTGTATCTGGTGGGACGATTCTGGCAAGCACATAAAGGCTGTTCACTTTTGTTGGTTGTAGACATCCTGTGATGTAGCAGCAGCTGTCATTTGGCACAGAATCCAGCGCCAGTCTTTCCCACACTGCACATGTGTATTCGGCTGTCAAATAGCAAAGTGCAAGTGAGATGACTCTTTGTATTTCTGGATTGGTTCCCCATTTGGAATTAGCAGGTTTCCTGAGTATGGTGTTCTGAGTGCTAACTTTGCCTTTTGTCTGCTGTATGTATGCCTTGAAGGAAAAGTAAGGTCTAGCATCACTCCAAGGTAGACAGGATTCCAGCAAGTGGTATCCCATTCCAGATTATGTTGAGTTGTCTATAGGCCTCACTGTTCCAAAGATGGAAGAGACTTGCTTGCATTTTTTCTGGGTTGGCACGTAGTTGGTTCTTGATGTAATACACTGAGAACCCAGACAGTGCAGATGTTAATATAGTTTTGATCTGGGTGAGATCCTTGGCTTGGGCAGCAATGTATAGGTCATCGGCATACATAAAGCATTTTGTACTGAGATAGATAAGTTTATCATTCATGTAAATGTTGAAGTGTGTTGGTAAGAGTAGGCTCCTTGTGGTAGGCTGTTTTTCTGTTGCTACCTTTGACTCTGTTTCCCGTATAGGTCAACATAAAAATGTCAGTTCTCTAGTAGAGATTATATGAGTTGAACGGAGTGCTGATCTTTCATCATGTTGTATATTTTAGTGAGTAGCTTTCAGTGAGTCACTGTCTTGTATGCTGCTGATAGATCAACAAACACAGCACCTATTACTGTACCCTTTTCAAAGCCATCGCCAATGTATTGAATGATGTTCAGTACCTGACTGGTTGTTAGGAGACCTAACAGTGGTCAGGCCTAGAGTTGGAGGAGGAGTCAGGTATAGTGGTTGGAGTTCGAATGCTAGAACCAGGGTTCAATACAGGGCCAGAACCACAAAGCAGGGCCACAGATGAGAACTGGAGTCAGAGTCAGGAATCAGAGGCAAGGGTCAGAACTGGATTACCAGGAGTAAGGGAAGGCAGGAGCAGGGCTGGTTCTGAGACAGGAGCCAGGCTGGGACCAGATGGGAACAAAACTGACTGCAGCGCAGGATCTGGGCTGGAGCAGTAGAGGAGCGGAGCAGGGCTTGGCGAGAGACTAGCACAGGGAGGCAGGGAGTCTGTGGGCATGTGCGTTGAGCAACCAGCAAGAAACTGCTGCTGCTGAGCTTAAGAATCATCCTGCTAGCTTCCTCACCCAGTTAGGCAGCCACGCTGGCTTGTTAGGATGTCAGGATTATTGAGCAGATGCAGTTGCAGGGCCTTTCTGCTGACACCAGTGCATTACCTCATGGAATCCAGTTTCCTGTGGGATTAGGTGCTTTCAACAAATGGTGATAGGCGGTTTAAGATGAGATGCCCTTATAGTATGTAGGGGTGACGTAGTAGTGATATGCATATGAAGTTCTTTGGCTCCACTGCATCCTTCACCATTTTAATCAGTTAGATTGTAGCCCCATTTGACACTGTGACTATTGGAGAGAGTCCAGCGGAGGGCAACGAAAATGATTAGGGGGCTGGGGCACATGACTTACGAGGAGAGGCTGAGGGAACTGGGATTATTTGGTCTGCAGAAGAGAAGAGTGAGGGATTTGATAGCAGCCTTCAGCTACCTGAAGGGGGGTTCCAAAGAGGACGGAGCTAGGCTGTTCTCAGTGGTGGCAGATGACAGAACAAGGAGCAATGGTCTCAAGTTGCAGTGGGGGAGGTCTAGGTTGGATATTAGAAAACACTATTTCACTAGGAGGGTGGTGAAGCACTGGAATGGGTTACCTAGGGAGGTGGTGGAATCTCCATCCTTAGGAGTTTTTAAGGCCGGGCTTGAGAAAGCCCTGGCTGGGATGATTTAGTTGGGGTTGGTCCTGCTTTGAGCAGGGGGTTGGACTAGAGGACCTCCTGAGGTCTCTTCCAACCCTAATATTCTATGATTCTATTAAAGTTGCCAATGATCACTTGCATTTTGTCATGTTCAAGATTATATGGGTTAGTTAACTTGAATTGTTTGCATGGTGGTTTGTAGACAAATGTGATGGAAATGTCACCAATGTCTACAGTCAAGACTTCAATGTAATTCTTATCAGTCATAAATGTGTTGATAACAAGAATCAGGTTTGATGAAAATGGTGCTGCTGAATTACTTGTGTGATCTTTCAGTGGCCAAGTTCATCTTAAGTATCTTTGTTAATCTCTCTTTGTTTCTCCTGGAGACATAGCAGATGGCAGTTGTAGTCAGCACACATTTTGGCTATAAGATCTTGTTTGGCACCTGAGAATCCTTCAACATTTTATAATATTATTGTTGGTGCCAGCCCTGATAAGGACCCTTCTGAATTTCACTGATCACTTGGTCTACATTCAGGTACAGTTGTTCAGTTATGCTGGTGACTCTGTTGGTCTGCAGGCATAGACATATTCTTTGGTTATATTATGGTGGTAGGTGCAGGATTTTTGTTATAAAAGAATGTTAGACCCTGTGAAGTGGGGGGAGGTGGGGGAGGGAACAGTCCCAGATCTTGCCCTGTGGTGGCACAGTTTGGTTCTGCAGGCACCCCACCCTCAGTTCCATCAGGGTTCTTGGAATAATTTGCTCAAAGACCAGACTACTTAATATACAAGACCCCCCATACTTGTACTTTGTCTTTTCAAAATACAGATTCTTTGGCCTCTGAGTTCCAAACCTTGTTTACCCTTAGGTCAAGAGACTAACAACCTTCCTTCTTGAGTCCTGTCCTGTGATTAGGGCCAGCTAGCCAATTTAGAGTTAAACAAAGGAAAAGTTTAATATATTCTTAATGCTAATGAGTCATGATAAACTAGCTCTAAACAGCCACGCAATAAACTACAACAAGTGCACTCTCTGTAATAAAACAAGATTCCATTCAATTTTCCGGTTTTCACATGCTTAGAGACTTTTGTGCTGGAATTCTGCCTGAAAGTGCATATTTTTAGAAAAATTGGTTAATCAATTATGGATTTTCAGAAGAATGAAAAATACAAAACTTTTCTCCCCATTGGAAAGAAGGGTCATTTTGAGGGGTGGAAATACCTAAGAAACAACAGAACTTTGAAATTTCAAGCTGTATATGTAATTAGACCTAAGTGAACAACTTATACCTTTTTAAATATGAACAAAATCTGTTTTAAAAATATTATGAAAATGTGAGACTGATGATTCACAGTAAAAACTTGTTAGCTAGCACGTAAAAATAGATGCAGTGCACATGCATACTGAGGAAGTTAACTGCACTGATATTTGGTTATAATAATTTACAGGCACAGCTGCTGAAGCAGGAGGCAATTGTAAACTCAAGAGGTTTCATAGCTTCACAGCCAAGAGTGGTGTTGGTTGTTGCACAGTAAATTGCTAAATTCCTACTCTACAAACCTTGTAACTCTGAAGTGAGAATCCATGTAATTTATCTATTCTATTTATGAATACCGGTCACCATAGTATCTAGATGCTGAACCCAAATAACAAAAGCAGGAGGAGTTTTGAAATGGATTTTAATTGGACTTTGCTCTTGTCATCTGAAAGTACAGCCACTACTTAAATTCATTCACTTCCCCCCTCTTTTTCTCTTCTTTCTCTCTTTATCCTATTTCCTTTATTTTTTCTTCAGTACCTATTATTAGGGGTAGAGTGATACAAAATGAGTACGTTTTATGCTGGATTCTGAAAACATTTTGATAAGGGGCTCATTGTTATCTCTTTCAGTAGAGTACTCCACAGCCTGGTGCCCGGTAGCTAAGATTGTTGTGCTTCTGATTCTACAAAAATTTTACCCTAATATTTTTGGTTTCTGTAACCCTTGACAACTTTGCTTTCTTGGTGTATCACACATGGAGAGGCAATTGCTTAAACAGCCAGATTGAGGTTCTTGAAAATTAGAACCAGGATTTCGAATTTTACCCAGAAGTGAACAGGAACCAGTGAAGTGTGCTGGGTATTTCTGCCTGGATGGCCTCCATCTCTGTACTGTGTCCTAGATATTTATAGATATATCCTTACACCGCCTTTGGAGGTAGAGAAATATTATTCTCATTTTCCAGATGGACAAATCGAGACACAGAAATTTTGACTTGTTCAAGGTCACTCAGGAGGTCTGTAGCAGATCCAGGAGCTGAATTCATCCTTAACTAATAGATCATCCTTTCCCATTAAACTTTATAACTTGCTTTTTGTGACTGGTCCAGCTCCAATCTGCTGTGTCTTGCACAAGTGTAGTTTTTGATTGGACCTAAACAGAGGGAGCTAAAGTTTTCCAATATTGAGGTGATGAATGTGTGGATCTCAGTTGACAAGTCCTCATTGGAAAGGAATGTAGGTGTACCAATAATTCAGAGGTAGTGGAAGCATTTCTTGCACTGTTGATGCCATTTTATGAAGGAGAAGAGAAGCTTCCAGTACACGCTATCTTGACAGATGCTTTCTCGACGGGTTGCTGTGAGGTCTTGGTAAGCTCCCTTACTCTTCATACCCATACCACTTCCATCTTCCTGATTTGATAGTTGTTCTTTCAGAACCTTCTCTTGGAGCCACTGTGTCATCTGTGTGATGGCACTGGCCATATTGACTGAAGAGATGTATGATTAGGTGCTGTCAGAATGTTGGTGGCAGGGTAAGCCACGTAATCATACAGCTTCTTCCAGGGTCTTATGTCTACTGAAAAGGAGGGAGAATAGGCTTTCTTATTGATAGTCCACATAGGAGGGCTCTGGTGAAAGAGGAACAATTTCCCATCAACACTCTTTGGGATCTATATGAAATGAATTATCTTAATCTTTTTTTTTTTTTGATAACTTCTACTCTGCTGAGTCTTGTACACAGATCAGCAACACTCAGGGATTGATTGTGCTGAAGACTGTAAACTGGCTGAGCAGTATGACAATTGAGGTTTCACTTCTGTCTTCAGCCATAAGGAGGTCCTCTGTCAGTTCTGCTAAAGGGCTCTCTTTCTCTGTGTGCTGAGTCCTGATTGTGAGGGATCAGATTTGTTAGTAGAGTGCATTAGGTGATTTTGTTTCATGGTCATAACCACTTTTTTTTTATACGTTTGACAAAGAAAAGGGAGGTTAGAGATTGGGTAGTTTGCAACCTTGTTAGTGTCTAATGTCGGTTTCTTAAGGACGCACTTCGTGGGTCATATGATAATAATTTTGGTCACTGGTGCATTCAGTGGTTCTCATTTTCACCAGGCATGATGAGCAGGGGTTGGAGTCACTTAAAGTGGTCCTGATGTGTATCAGAGCTTTCAGTGCCCCACCTTCAGTTTTAGGGCCAAATCCCTTCAAGGAAGCTAGGATGGCCCTGGACTTGTTTTTTAAAATTTTGTCCTTTCTCCCCTGTAGCCACCTATATTCAGCTGTTTGTTTGTTCATTGGTTTCCCCCCAAAAAACAATAGTCCGAGAGCTCTTCACAATGGGCGGTACTGGTGTCTGGGATTTGGTTAAATCTTGGTTAATCAACTGATTAGCTATATTGAAGTCTTCATGACTGACTGGTAGAATTTATGGGAGAGGGGATGGAAGCTTTTTTGAACTATGAATGAGGACTGGATTCAATCAGTGTCAGTGAGACCAAAGACTGTCACTCAAGCCCTCAAGTCACTATTGTGACTGCTGCTGGAATACTGTGTCAGTTCTGGTGTCTCCAATTCAAGAAGAATGTTGAAAAATTGGACACTGTTCAGAGAAGAGCTGTGAGAATGATTGAAGGGTTAGGAAACCTGCCATATAGTGATAAATTGAAGGAGCTCAATCTGTTTAACTTGTCAAAGAGAAGGTTAAGGCATGACTTGATTATAGTGTAAGTACCTACATGGGGTATAAATATATAATAAATGGGCTCTTTGGTCTAGCAGAGAACGCTATAACACGATCCAATGGCTGGAAGTTGAAGCTAGATAAATTCAGACTGGAAACAAGGTGTACATTTTTATCAGTGAGAGTAGTTAATCATTGGAACAGTTACCAAAGGCTGTGGTGGATTCTCCATCAGTGACCATTTTAAAATCAAGATTGGACATTTTGTAAAAGATATGCTCCAGGAATTATTTTGGGGAAATTCTATAACCTGTTTTACGCAGGAGGTCAGACTAGATCAGCGGTGCTCAAACTAGGGGTTGGGACCCCTCAGGGGGTCGCGAGGTTATTACATGGGGGGTCGCGAGCTGTCAGCCTCCACCCTATACCCTGCTTTGCCTCCAGCATTTATAATGATGTTAAATATATTTTAAAAAGTGTTTTTAATTTATAAGGAGGTCACTTATGCTTTGGGAAAGGGGTCACCAGTACAAAACTTTGAGAACCACTGGACTAGATGATCACATTGGTACCTTATGGCCTTGGAACCTTTATATTTAACATTTCTGATCATTTGTGAATTTTTGTCACACTACTGTTTTAAATTGATTTTGTGTTAATTTATCTTAATACAGGGGTTCTCAAACGTCATTGCACCGTGACCCCCTTCTAACAACAAAAATTACTACATGACCCCAGGAAGGGGACTAAAGCCTGAGCCCAAGGTCTTCAGCCCCAGACAGTGGGCTTTGGCCCGGGCAGTGGGGCTTGGGCTTCAGCTTGGCCCTGGGCTTCAACTTCAGCCCTTGGCCCCAAAAAGTGTAAGCCAGCCCTGGCAACCCCATTAAAATGGAGTCATGACCCACTTTGGGGTCCCAACCCACAGTTTGTCTTAATATATATCCTGGTCAGCAATTAACATTAAAATATTCAGAACTGTGAACTTCTGCATTTTTTGTAGTCAGAACTTTTTTATGGTTTCATTTTTTCTCTTAATTATTTGTACTCACAATGATTTTGTTCTCAGAAGCAAATTAGGCAATACATTTTTCTATTTTGTATTCCAGCTTGCCAGTGTAACGGGCACAGCACCTGCATCAATGGCAATATTTGTGACCAGTGTAAAAACCTAACTACAGGAAAACAGTGTGAAACATGCATGCCGGGTTACTACGGGGATCCAACAAATGGAGGCCAATGTACAGGTAAGTATCCTACCAGAATCAAAAGATACCTTCAGTGCTGTGAAAGTATCAATGACTGAAAAATTGATATAGTATTATACATGTGCTGGACAGCTAACATTGTGATTCAGCATCTAGATTTAGCTTTCTCGGAGAATCTTCACATTAAAACATTGTGTAACAATTGTAAGTTTATATATAAACACAAAGAGTAAGATTGTGGTTTTAATACACAGCTTGTATTGGACAGGGGAGAAAGAGCTATGCACTGGTAGAAATACCTAAAAGTATTGTGCTTGAGAAAGGTAATATGCCTTGGGAGATCTGAGACAGTGTAACCGTCCCTGGCTTTTCAGGGATTCTGCTCCCATTGTCCTGCGTGACTCTTGCTGTCCCTATGTACCTGGAGTTCAATAACCAGAATAGTGCTGGGTACCTACAGAGAGCTACAGCAGGGAGCTTGAGAGGTGCTCTCCTCCTCGCTTCTGTGCTTGTACAGGGCTAGGTATAATCTAACTCTGATCATTTTCTTTTTACTCAAAGGAGGTTTTGCATATTTGAAAGATATTTATCATACAAGATGTTCATTCTAATGAATAAAACAAATAGGTGTTACTTTTATAAAGGCAAGATTTTCTCTGAAAAGTGACTGTGTAAAATGGCAACTGCTTACTCAACAGATCTGCCCCCTGTTTGTGTTCTGTGACAAAGTCAGACTAGACAGCTACCAGAGAGTGGTGGATGGCAGATATATCAGCCCTAGAATGGTAAAGGCTCTTTCTTCTTTAAGTGATTGCACATATGCATTCCACTCTAGGTGTGCGTGCGCCCCAAGCACAATCACTGGAAATGTTTCCCTCAGTGATGCCCGTCAGGGCAGCACAAATGCTCTCAGCTGCCACGCGCCGATAGCGCCAATATAAAACACCTAGCTGACCCCGCACTCCTCAGTTCCTTCTTAACACCCGTGATGGTCGCTGAAACTGCTGTCTCTCAGTGGTCATCTTCCTCTTCTATCTGTACATAATTAGTTAGTTGTAGTCAGTTTTACTCAGTTTTGGCTAATTTTAGTGAAGTTCGGTAACTTCATGTTTTAGCGCAGTTTTTGTCCATTCTCCAGTGCCCAGGCATGCCTCGTTCAGGACTGGCTCCAGGGTTTTTGCCGCCCCAAGCGGCGGAAAAAAAAAAAGCCGCAATTGCGATCGGCGGCAGCTCCACCGCACCACTTTGTTCTTCGGCGGGAATTCGGCAGCAGGTGCTTCCCTCCGAGAGGGACCCGCCGCCGAATTGCCACGGAATAGCCCGACATGCCGCCTCTTCCCTTTGGCTGCTCCAAGCACCTGCTTTCTGGGCTGGTGCCTGGAGCCAGCCCTGGCCTCGGTCACTGGGCTTTAAGCCCTGCACCTCCTGCAACAAAGCTGTGCCCCTCAGCAACCCACACTTAATCTGCCTGATGTGCCTAGGAGACGCTCACATTGGGCACCATTGCCAGATCTCCAGGGACTTTAAGCCTTGCACAAAGAAGTACCGGGAGGCCAGGCTGAAGTTTTTGTTCATGGAGGCGGCACTGAGACCTCCATCTGAGCCAGGCCATCACCGAGTGCCTCAATGTCAATAAGAAATGCTCCTCCAACCATACCAGAATCCTGGCACCGATCACCTCTTAGGAAAAGGCATAAGAAACAGCCAGCCAAGAGGGGGCAATTCTCTGCACCAAAGATGGCCAGGCATGAGGATCAGAGTACAGTGCGATCTAAACAAAAGCATTCCTCTGCCTCAGTACCACAGCACTCAAGTCCAGTTCCAGAAGAGCCATCTACATCTGTGGCACAGCACTGATATTAGCTTGGTACTGACCACACCAGAGGCGTTTGCCACTGCCAGAGACCTTTTCTCGCTCTCGGTACCAGTACAAGAGTCAGTGTTATCAGTGCCAGCGGACAGGAGGGAACTGCTGGATCCTGTCATTGTGCTGTACCGTGCCCTTCAGTACCATCAAAAGGGAAACCTGTTCTACTTGCCTCAGTGTGGGCATCTCCACCACGGTATAGGTCATCAACACTGGTGTGAACAGCACCACCATGGTCACCAAAGAGACTCTCGTCCTCTTCAGAATCGGAGATCGAATCTTATTCTTTCCGTCCAAGGAGACGTTCTCACCACTCCTCCAGGCATTTCTACCCTTCCATGGACCCGGGCAAGTGCATAGCTAGGAGGTCACCGGTGACCTATGATGGTCCAGTGTCCCTTTTGGAACCCGTTGTTTTTTTCCCCCCAGTTTCCAGGGCTTATTCAGTGGCCTCTGAAAGAAGGATGCCATTGTCCCATCGAGCCTGGTACCGAACTGCAAGAGCCAGCTCAATGGGATCCTGCTGAGGCAGAAAGTAGCTCTTCCTTCCACAGTTGGTGCTGACCACCTCCCCAGATGAGGCAGTCTCAGGAGAGTGCGGATGACTATAAGGCTCACCAAGAGTTGTTAAAGAGGGTGGCCTTAAATCTGGGCATATAGGTGGAGTTGTAGTGAAAGAATCCTCCCACTTTTTAGCCACTGAGGACTCTTCAAAAGTAGCCCTGCCTCTCAACGAGGCCATTATGGACCCTCTTAAGACCCTTGTGGCAGACCCCCCACATCTCTTCCCACCCATGTCAAAAAGGGAAGAATGAAAATACTTTGGCAGCCAGGTCCATGGCTTCAGCAGTGGCCATGCACAGGAGTTCATGGCTACTGTCCTCAGGGCTCCTGCAGGAGGTCCAGCAAACCCTTCAGGACCTATTTTTCAAAGGAGTTTCGCTCTTTTCAGAACAGACTGATGCATGGGTTAAAAGACTTCAAAGCAACCCTTAAGTTCCTTGCATTGTACACACCAGCTCCTTCAAGGAAGCATTACAGGCCTCAACAGCCCATCTGGTCTCTTTTCTGGTTGCCTGTCAGGATCCTCAGGGAAAGAGAAGCAGAGGTTTTAGGTGTAGGCAACCCCCCTTCTGCCTCAAAGTCAATGCCTGCCCCACCCAGACATCCAGGGGGTTCTAAGCAGGTGTTTTGATAGGACACTCAAGGATGCTCTACCAGTTCCCATGATGCCAGACCCTGTTTCTTCTTTATTTGTGAACCACTTTTCACACTTCCTGAATGCATGGTCCAGTATTACCACAGACGGTTGGGTGTTGAGCACCATGGAAGTGGGATACATCCTTCAGTTTATTTCTACGCATCCTTCTCACCCTGCCTCGCCATCCCTCTTCAGGAACCTCTATCATGAAGAACTTCTGGGCCGGGAGGGAGGTTCAATCTCTTCTTTGTGTGGGAGTGATGGAACAGGTCCGCAGAATTTAAGGGGGAAGGAGTTCTATTCCCGTTATTTCCTAATCCCAAAAGAAAAGAGGTCTCACTGATTTTAGACTTGAGTCAGCTCAACAACAATCTCAAGAAAATAAAGTTTTTCATGGTCACACTGGCATCCATTATCCCCTCCCTGGATCCCGGGTATTGGTACGCCACCCTGGACTTAAGAGACACCTATTTTCATATATAGATTCCCTCCTTGCAAGAAGCAATGCAGCTCTGGGAATTTTGTGTAGCCCACTCAGTTAACCTCGAGGCCTCTCACCTTCTGGGAATGTAAAACGAGCTGGCAGATCACCTCAGTAGGTCTTTCTCCATTCACCACGAATGGTCCCTTCACCAGATTTGGCAAGAAACATTTTCCAGCAGTTAGGGTGGGGGAACTCCCTGAATAGACCTATTTGCAAACTAATTCTGCTCTCTTAGAACATGGATTATGGCCTCGATCGTGGACACCTTTCTGCTACCTTGGACGAGACATCCTTATTATGCTTTTCCCCCCTTCCTGCTCGTGCACAGAGTTCTGCTAAATATCAAGCGGGACCGGGATCGGGTTATTCTGACAGCCCCAGCATGGGCCTTTCAACATTGGTTCTCCACCCTACTAGATCTCTCTGTGGTGACTCCAATCCTGCTTCCGTTGCACCCAGACCTGATTTCCCAGGAGCATGGTCGGCTGTTCCACCCGAACCTGAGCTCCCTTCATCTAACAGCCTGGAAGCTCCATGGCTAAATCCTGTAGAGCAGGCTTGCTCAGACCAAGTTAGTCAGATTCTAATAGATAGTAGAAAGCCCTCCACCAGGGCTACTTATCTCTCGAAGTCAACGTAGTTCTCTGTTTGGGCATCCCAATGCGGAGTCTTGCCCACGCGTTCACCCATACAAGACAGATTTGAATATCTGTTGCCCCTGAAACAACAAGGCTTAGCAATCTCTTCTGTCAAGGTTCACCTTGCAGCAGTATCAGCTTTCCACCATCAGGTGCATAACCAGTCCGTTTTTTCATGGTTCCTGAACCTAGTCAAAGCTTATGGGACCACTGTTTGAGCCTTTGGCAACTTGCTCCTTATTATGCCTCTCCTGGAAAGTGGTTTTCTTAGTGGACATTGCTTCGTCCAGAAGGGTCACAGAACTCCATGCCCCTTACATAAGATCCTCCTTATACAGTCTTCTTTAAAGATAAGGTGTATGTACGCCCTCACCCCAGTTTTGCAGTTTCATAGTAATTAAGCAATCTATCTACCAGTCTTTTACCTGAAGCTGCATGCAAATAGGAATGAACAATGTCTTCACTGATTGGATGTTAGATGAGCTCTAGCTTTCTACATAGAAAGAACCAAACCATTCCGTAGGTCCACCCAACTGTTCGTAGCTGTAGCTGACATGATTAAGGGTCTCCCAATCTCTTCACAGACAGTTTTGTCTTGGATTACTTCGTGTGTTCGCACTTGTTATGATCAGGCAGGTATTTCACTGCCAGCTAACCTGACTGCTCATTCCACAAGGTTGCCAACATCCTCAGCAGCATTCTTAGTACAGATCCCTATTCACGACATTTGTAAAGCAGCACGTGTTCTCCTCCCATTATGCCATCACTCAGCATTCCAGAGATTATGCCAAATTTGGTTCAGCTGTTCTGCAGTCCATGTGTCCATGAACTCTGATTCCTCCACCTATT